TATATATATATATATATATATATATATATATATATATATATATATATATATATATACCAAAACAAATAAAGCACCAAAAACTCACGTAGCTGGCACTAAAAGCCAAATCAACCGCACAAACAAACAAACAAAAAGTGCCAACAACAGACGCAAAAGGTCGTTTGTGCCAACATTCGGGTGAATAAAGAGTTAAAAGCTTTATCGCACGTAACTAACGATAACATATTGGTGCCGATGAAAACAAAGGGATGTGTTATTCCCTGTCTGTTCTATCGGGAACATTATATTTGGAGGCCGTAATACCGCGGATTTAGGGGAAAACACGACAGATTGGAAATAAACGAATAAGTAAATGGATTAATCAAATAAATGAAGAGATGATAAAGAAGGACATAATATATATATATATATATATATATATATATATATATATAATATATAATATATATATATATATATAAATGGTCGTAATACCGCGGATTTAGGGGAAAACACGAACAGATTGGAAATAAACGAATAAGTAAATGGATTAATCAAATAAATGAAGAGATGATAAGAATTGAGAATAATACGCGGATTTAGGGGAAAACACGACAGATTGAAATAAACGAATAAGTAAATGGATTAATCAAATAAATGAAGAGATGATAAGAAGACATGAATATATATATATTAAAAATGGTCGTAATACCGCGGATTTAGGGGGAAACACGACAGATTGGAAATAAACAAATATATAAGTAAAATGGATTAATCAAAACGAAGAAGTAGATGATGAAAAACAACATAAGCATATAAAAAAAACTGGTCGTAATACCGCCGGATTTAGGGGAAAAACACGACAGATTGGAAATAAACGAATAAGTAAATGGATTAATCAAATAAATGAAGACTGAATTAAAGACCAATATATATAAAAAAATGATCGTAATACCACGGATTTAGGGAAAAAACACGACAGATTGAAAATAAACAAATAAAGAATAAGTATATGGATTAATCAAACGAATGAATATGATAAAAGAAAAAACATAAGATATAAAAAAAACTGGTCTTAATACCACGGATTTAGGGGAAAACACGACAATTGAAATGAAAAAAAAAATGAATAAATGGATTAATCTCAATAAATGCATAGATGATATAAAAACATAAATAGGACATGAAAGCATAGACCAATAAATACATGATTTAGAAAATATGTGAATGGGAAATGGTAATTACTTGAAGAAAAATATGTATGCGATAATAGTGATGGTTTTAATGAATGGATTATGAATGAATGAACAAATTAATAAGGTTCATGATTATGATGATTATGATGAATTGAATGAATTAATGAATGATCAAAAGACACGTGGAAAGGAAATAGTAATTAATTTAAGAACAATTATATGCGATAATGGTGATGATAATAACAATAAGGATAAGGATAATGATGATAACAGTAATGATTATAATGATAATGAAAATAACAATTATGATGATATTGATGATAACGATAATAGTACTAAGAAGAAGAAGAATGATGATAATAGTTGTAATAATGATAAGGATAATCATGTAGACAATAATGATAACAATAACAATGATAATGATATTGAGAACAATATAAGCTAATAATGATAACAAGGGTAATTAGGATAACTAATGATAATTACCACCAAAAGAATTATGGTAATCATAATATGAAAAGCAGTAATAGAGGCATGCGGCCAAAGGTATAAAAGTAATTTTCATGTTGATGATGTTGGTAAATAACTGCTTATATAAACATGATATCACAGTGTTATAAATTCCTGATTAATGAACAGCCAAAAAAATCGTACATTTATGATGATTAAATTGTTGTGATAATCTAGCTAATCTTTGTCATCAAGGTCAAAAAATAATTATTTAAACATGACATGACTTTGAGTGAATGGGGAATAACTAAAAAGGTGAAAGGATTGATAGAGGGATGGATAAGTAATGAACAATGGAATAATAAGACGTTCAAGATACTGACGAACTACGGGAGAAGTTGATAAATAGATTGATGATTTTAAAAAAAAAAAAAAAAAAAAAAGAGAGAAAGAATAGAGAAAGAAAGAAAGAAAAAGAGAAAATAGATAAAGAAATGAAGAGCTAAAGAAATTGATAACCAAATTATATATATATAGATATGCATGTATCTATATATGTATGGACTTTTCCGCCTTTCTTTAAATTTCAAACGGAAACATGTTAAATAAATAGACTGACCGATGAAAATATAGACAAAACAAATGAATAGCTACAAACCAGATAAATGTATTTTATGGATATATGTGGTATATATCGGTTGTTTTCCCACTTCCCCCTTTTTCATAATTTCACATGATTTTCTTTTCTTATTTTCTCTCTCTCCTTCCCCCCAAGGTTAATTTTATTTCTCGCGATTTTCTTTTCTCATTTTCTCTCTCCTTCCCCTCCCCCCAGGGTTAGGTCACTCACTTCCCCCATTTTCTTTGATTTTATA